GACGGCGGGCCAGATTAAGGTTGCTTTGTTCCGGGTTTTGGCATCGGGAGAGATCAAGCGGGGCGAGTACTCCCCGCAATTTGATGCGCACGACGATGAGGAGGGTGGTCAAGATAACAGCGGTGGAGGAGACGCCGATGTTGACCATACCACAAGTTTCGCGAAGCCAAAGTCACTCGACCCAAAGACCATTAGTACGCAGACTGTTACTGGTATTGACCCGTCTGATAAACCATACGCTGTTTTCACTTTTATGTACCGTGGTGAGCGTAAGTATTGTCTGGATCGCTCTTGATGGGAATGGTTGCTAATTTTACATCAACATAGGTCAATTGCAAAAGATGGGTATCTTGAAAGATGCCAAAGTGCAAGAGACGCCTGCTGCCAGTAAGCGCAAGTCCATACAAGCTGATATCGCAAACCTCGGCCCTATCAAACCTGGTGGCTCTGTTGGATTCCTTAATTTCCGGGACAGCGAAGCCAAGCCGCGGAAGGGAAAGAAGAGCGTCGACGATATGGACAGCGATGATGACGACACCGACAACCCCATACTTGGCAAGGCAGACGACGAAGAAGCCAAGGATGACGATCGGTTCCTCTCTCCCGATGACATTCAACGCCAGGGAGAGCTGGCGGAGAGCCTGCGAAAGATTCGAGTAGGTATAATTCTAACATTCTATGAGTTCTCTGCTAACGACATCACAGCTCAAGCGTCAGCACTCCGCCGAACCACCTGGAGGCAGTGTCGGTGACTCTGCTGATACGCCGGCTTCTGGAACTGGATCTACGCCTCCTGTAAAACAGCGCTCAGAAACACCGCCAAAGGCTGCCGCAGCTGAATCTGCTGGTGGGCACCTCACCGAGCCGTCTCTGCTAGCCGTTGAACCAGAAGATGGCCTTTTCGGTAGTCCACTGAAAAAACAGCGGGGGAGTGTCTCGACCGCAGATGAGAATGCCCTTAGACGCCGGATCGCAGAGTCCGGTAGAATCAATGAAACTCTAGGCTCTTCCGCTCCAACAGAATCAACTTTCACCAGTCCGAAGATATTCGGTGATGGGTTCAGTCTTACGCCTGATCTTTCTGCTGGACCCCCAGAACATGATGAGGAGTTGTAATTCTGTGATCGTCGAAAATAGGTTACATCTGATTTCGAGATCTCGCTTGAGCCGTTGGGCCTGACAGGCTACTACTCTTCGCTTTGGAAAGCACTGGTCGTTTTTGCTGTGTCCTATGGATCTAGAAAGGATTCTGCGAGTGGGCGGGATCTTCGTTGGATTTACTGGGTCCTCTGGATGGTCATACATATTGCTTTTCTACAATTACGCCGTTATGTCCACTACTTACAATACAGGGAACATGTTGAAGGAGAAATACATTTGCTGTACCGATCAGGGCAGCTTGATCATGGGTTTAAGGCTGAACTAAGCGTTGTACGCCGAGAGAAGTCACTGTATACATCGTAGATTGTATATTTTAAAAGGTTTCCGGTATCCGTCTGACTGCGTTTGTCAAGCATTTGCTAGACCGGCTTAAACCCCGATAAGCTTCTAAACCGTAGGCTATAGCTGAGACAAATCTACCTATTTCAAACTCCTCAACTACACATCCATGCTCAGAAGTATCTTTCTACGTGCATCTGCATTACGCGGTGTTCTGGTCCAGCCCGGCTTTCTCCACCACCAAGTCAGAGAGATTCTGCCAAGCCCCAATTGAACCTCGAATCACTAACAGCTTCAATAGCCAGGAAGAGCCCCTATCCGCTACAAATCCACGATGCCACTCGAACGCTCGACAGACCCTTTGGTCTGGATCGACTGCGAGGTACGTCTAAACGTCCCATCTCCGATCCAAACCCTGCTACAGCGCATTTCAAAATCCTCACCACTAACCTCATTCACAAGATGACAGGCCTGAACCCGGAAACCGACAAGATCATCCAGATCTGCTGTTTCATCACAGACGCCCAACTAAACCTCCTCGAACCGACCGGCTTTGAAACCGTCATCCACGTCCCAGACTCCGCCCTCGACGCGATGTCGCAGTGGTGCATCGATACACACGGCCGCACGGGCCTCACCGCTGCCGTGCGGGCCTCGACCACCTCCCCCTCCACCGCCGCAGACTCGCTCCTCGCCTACATCCGCCAACATGTCCCGGTCCCACGCACTGCCCTCCTCGCGGGCAATAGTGTTCACGCCGATAAGGCCTTCCTTGCTTGTACGCCGTACTCGCAGGTGCTGGATCACCTGCATTATCGCATACTAGATGTTAGTTCCTTGAAGGAGGCGGCGCGAAGATGGGGGAGTGATGAACTGCTTGAGCAGGTCCCGCCTAAGCGGGAGGTTCATCTTGCTAGGGATGATATTCTTGAGAGTATTGAGGAGATCCGGTTCTATAAAGAGAAGCTGTTTAAGTGATGGTGTGGCTGATTTGGTGGCCTGCTTTTCTCTGTTACTCTGAGACATGTCTGGGAAGTAGTTTTAAAACTCTGCATGTTGAACTTGTCCATTGTTTTCGGCTACATTTCCCTAATGTGAGAAGACTCCATACAATGTACAATATACTTTGGAATAATGTTGTTGTACAAGACGCAGGCTCTTGCTTCCCCCGCCGGAATGATCTGCGATGGACAATTTCTAAGAGTAACTTGACGGACAACTTATAGATTAGACTGAATAGAACAAATCAGAGCCTTGGGCTGTACAGAGTACGAAGTAGATTAAAATGCTGTGGCAAAGTACTACAAGAGTACTAAGCGGAATGATCAACACATGACGCCAAACGTTGGCCCCTCTCCGTGGAGCTCAACAAGTCGGTGAACTTCTCGAACTTCTTCCCCTCTTCTCCTATTCTCCTAACTACCTCTTTCCCTCCAATCTTATTCCATCATGTCTGTCCAGACAGTCTCTATCCAGCCCTTCACTGACCAGAAGCCTGGAACGTACGTTACTCGTTGCCCCGCAATTGAACTGCTAGCTAACTTGCTCCCAGCTCAGGCCTTCGCAAGAAGGTCAAGGTCTTCCAGCAGGACAACTACTCCGAGTCCTTCATTACTAGTGTTCTCCTGTCGATTCCCGAGGGTGTTGAGGGTTCCTTCCTCGTCATTGGTGGCGATGGCCGTTACTACAACCCCGAGGTCATCTCCAAGATCGCAAAGATCAGTGCCGCCTATGGCGTGAAGAAGATCTTGATTGGACAGCATGGAATTATGAGCACCCCAGCTGCTAGCAACCTCATTCGTGTGCGGAAGGCAACTGGAGGTATCCTCTTGACTGCCAGCCACAACCCCGGTGGTAAGTGATGGTCGGGAGTATTACGAGATCTGCTGGAGACTGACCAAACACTTTCAGGCCCCGAGAACGACTTTGGTATTAAGTACAACTTGGCCAACGGCGCTCCCGCCCCCGAGGGCATTACCAACAAGATCTTCGAGACTGCCAAGACCCTCACTTCCTACAAATACCTCGATGTTCCTGATGTCGATACCTCCACCATTGGCATCAAGAACTACGGTCCCCTCGAGGTTGAGATCGTTCACTCTACCGCCGATTATGTGACCATGATGAAGGAGATCTTCGATTTCGATTTGATCAAGGAGTTCCTCAGCTCCCACAAGGACTTCAAGGTCCTGTTCGACGGCATGCACGGTGTGACTGGTCCCTACGGTGTGGACATCTTCGTCAAGGAGCTCGGTCTGCCCGCCAGCAGCACAATGAACTGCCAGCCGAAGCCGGACTTTGGCGGCGGTCACCCCGATCCCAACCTCGTGTACGCCCACGAGCTCGTGGAGGCCGTCGATGCGAACGGCGTCCACTTCGGTGCCGCCAGTGATGGCGACGGTGACCGTAACATGATCTACGGTGCCAACAGTTTCGTCTCCCCCGGTGACAGCTTGGCCATCATCGCCCACCATGCCAAGCTCATCCCGTACTTCCAGAAGCAGGGTGTATACGGCTTGGCCCGCTCAATGCCCACTTCCGGAGCCGTAGATCGCGTGGCTAAGGCTCAAGGTCTGCAGAGCTACGAGGTGCCCACCGGCTGGAAGTTCTTCTGCAACCTGTTCGACCACAAGAAGATATCGATCTGCGGTGAAGAGAGCTTCGGCACGGGCAGCAACCACATCCGCGAGAAGGACGGCCTGTGGGCCATCGTGGCCTGGTTGAACATCGTTGCCGGTGTCGCCAAGCAAAAGCCCAACGAGACCCCCAGCATCGGCTCCATCCAGAACGAGTTCTGGCAGACATACGGTCGCACCTTCTTCACCCGCTACGACTACGAGAACGTTGACAGCGAGGGCGCCAACAAGGTCGTTGGCACTCTGTCCGACCTGGTTGCCAACCGCGACACTTTCGTTGGCTCGGAAATCGCCGGTCGAAAGGTCGTTGACGCTGGCAACTTCTCATACACCGACCTTGACGGCAGCGTCTCCAGCAACCAAGGTCTGTACGCCAAGTTTGATGATGGCAGCCGCATTGTCGTTCGTCTGTCCGGCACCGGCAGCAGCGGTGCTACTATCCGTCTGTACGTTGAGCGCTACGAGGCCGACAAGTCCAAGTTCGGTCTCACTGCTCAGGAGTACCTGGCTGATAACATCTCTCTGGCGCTTTCTCTGCTCAAGTTCAAGGAGTATGTTGGCCGCGAGGAGCCTGACGTTAAGACCTAAGTTTAGTTAGGTTGTTAGGGTTAATGTGGAACCTGCTGGATGGGAATCACCTTATAATTGTTTTGCAGTTATATCTGGACGCGAGAAGAATGATGATCGAAAAGCAGGATCGAGATTAGAAGAGTATACGTTGGCATGAGATGAACTGCATCTTTATTATAATCCGAGTTTGTCTTGGCTTACCTCCAGGTCTGTGAAGTTAATGAAGCATATGCATTATTGTCCCCTATACTATACCAGATCTCAAACAAAGTATCATAGAATCGTAGCATCGTAGAATTGTAAATCATCAAACCCATCTATGTAATTACGCCTTCCACGCAGCAGCAGAAACCCTCAACTTCTCTCCCCACCAGCTCTCCCACTTAACAACTCTCTCCTCTCTCCTTGCCTCCTCCGCCGCAAAAACGACAGCATGACTCCGCACCGCCTCCTCGAGTGAACACCCAACAAACCTCGCTTGTGCCGTCTCAACATCCAACCCCCCTCAACTGCCTCAACAGCGCTAACAAACTGCTTCGCAAGCCCGAAGTCTCCGCCACCATGCGATTCGACCTGCCCCGGTGGTGGCTTCGGCACATCAAAAACAGAAGTCTTCGCCGTAGCAAAATCATAAACAGTAATAGTTGTACTATCATAAGAAACCTCGCCAGTAGTACCATACACCCGGCCTCGACGCTCACACTGTTTCTCCGTTGGCGCAATCATATGGAAACTCGCCGTTTTAGCAAGTCGATGCGGCACTGTATCCTCATCATCCCAGGCAAACGTCACAACCTGATCATCGCAGACATTGTTATCCGCTTCGTAGACGCACCGCCCGTACCAAGGTCGCACAGCGATATCCGAGTCCGACACTGTATCCCGGTCATAGTCCTCGGCAAGACAGGATAGGAGCAGCGACTCGGCAGCCTTGCCGCCTTGGGCACGGAACACATCTTCGATATCCGGACAGACGATGTCAACAGGCCAAGCCGTGTGACCCGTCGCGAGATGGTGCTCATTATAGATTTTAACCGCGCTGTAGTTACAGTCACTTTCAGCGGGGCAGGAGAGACAGTTTGTAGCGTTGCCTGCGGAAACGGGCTTGCGCTTTTGGCGGAACTGCGTCATCGTGCCGGCGGACGAGATCGAGCGCGGGAAGTGCGGCTTGTGGCCTTGTTTGGATGCTGTTTCGGGTGAGGGTGGGGAGCAGAGGAGCCAGAGGATGAAGTCAATGTCGTGGCAGGATTTTGTGAGGAGGGAACCGTCGCCCGCTGCTGTTGCGCGTCGCCAGTTGCCCCGGACGTAGCTGTGCGAGAAGTGCCACCAGCCGACCGGCTCGCAGTGTTCTAGGGAGACTATGTCGCCGATTGCGCGGTCTGTCAGGAGGAGTTTGCGAAGGAGGATGTTGTGCGGACTGTAGCGGAGGACGTGGCCGATTGAGAATATCTTCTTTGGGGCTTGGGGGGTGTTGTTTGGGCCTTCTGGTGGTTGGAGCGTTCGGTATACTGTTAGACAGTCGTCCAGCGAGAGGGCAAGTGGCTTCTCGCAGAGGATGTGTAGTTGGAGCGGAGCAAGGGCTTGTAGGATCTCGACATGTGTTTCGTCTAGTGTGCAGACGAAGACACCGTCTACCCCCACGGGAGTTGGGTTTATGTCTGCTGTGTTATCCTCATTGTTTTGAGTCGCCCGCTTCCGTCGCTCAAGTTCCCACTGCACCCATTCGCGCCAATCTGTGAACTCCTGGCCCTCTTGAGGCTCTTGAGGGGATTTGGATAGGCCCCATATATATTTTCGTCCGAACTCGCGCCGTTTGAATGCGTGGGGCTCGGCAATTGCGTGGATTACACCCGGTGTTACGGTTGTGACTGCACGGGCGTAGGCGTTTCCACGAGAGCCGGCGCCGATGACAAGGAATCGCAGTTGTTTCGATGGTGAAAAGGAGTAGCTGGGAGTACTCGCCGTGGGAGGTGGTATTGGTTCTTTCATGTTGATTTGAGGTTTGGTTGAAATATTGGGATAGCTTTGGAGCTTTTGGATCTAGAACATGATAATATAACGAATAATTGAAGGGATTTTTGACTCTGACAAGGTCTATTTATCCTGTTAGGGCTAAACAAAGAGTAGAGATAGTTATATATAATTAACAAATGTTCGGCGCGAGAGGTTGCAATTTACACGCGCTGTAACTGCGGGGGAAACATCAGCAACATCAGCCAGGCTTTGATTGGCCACCATGGCCACTATCTATATTATATCTGTATCTTGTCGGTCTTCTCTGTCACCTTCTGATTTGTTTTCCTTGTCGAAAATCATAGCAACCTCTTCCAAAGACCGCCCTTTCGTCTCGGGGAAGAGTAAGTATATAAGACCCAGGAACACTATCAGACAGCCAAGAAAGACACAATAATACTTCCATGCAATCGCCGTAAACGCCACTGGGTTGACATATTGGTTGAAAAAACACGCCACAGCGTCCACCGAAAGGGTGACAGCAATGCCTTTGGCACGCAGTTGGAAGGGCAGGATCTCAGCTGGATACGATATAAAGAGAGGCGCATAAGCGATATCGTATGCACCAAAGAAGAGAAACAGGAGCGGAACAGCCGCTATCCCAGCAGCAGGAAGATGTTTTTCGGCAAATAGACCAGCGGCCAGCGTGGACATGGACAGGAAAACGATCATAGCTCCCGTGGAAATAAGCCATAGAATGCGGCGGCCGTATCGTTCCGATGCAAGTGCACCAGCTGCCGCAAGGAGGAAGTTCCAGACATTGAGGCTGACGTTCACAGCAGCTTGGTCGGCTGCCTTCGTGATTCCCACTGATGCGAGAATTGGTGCGAGGTAATAGGATAAGAGGCCTGCGATACTATTAGTGACTATGTCTCTTTTAGGGCGTTGTACATACCATTTCCAACCCATTCTTGCATAAGTCCAACTAATACGCAGATGGTTAATCGGTGCATATCGCCTCTCGATGAGAAGAAGGAGCTCCAATCCGTGGTATTGGTGATCTCGGCTGTGATCGTGCTGCATATCAAACGGTACTCATACTGAACCAGCTCGTCGTCTGTGTCTCCATTCGCATGGTACTTCCCTAAAATACTCAGAGCTTCGTCTTTCCTGCCTTTGGACACAAGCCATCTCGGGCTTTCGGGCACAAACATGATCAACCCTAGGATCGAAAACAACGGGAACGATATTTGCAGCAGACAAGGAAGTCTCCACGACCAACTATTTGCTATTCCTATGGTTGCATACGTAACCGCTGCCGCACTAATGACGCCAAAACTCCAGGATGCATTGTACAGGGCCGTGGCCGTCTGTCGCTGCCGTGGGTGTGCGATTTCAGTTGCCAGGAGTGGGGATGCAGTCTGTGCGATGCCCATCCCTATACCGGACAAGACTCTGGTGCCAAAAAAGGCCCAGTGGCTTTTGACTGCGGTTTGGATGATAGCTCCCACGATCACAATGCTGGCCCCAATGAAAATACACGTCTTTCGTCCGAGTGCATCAGCAATATAAGAGGCCGGTGCGAAGGAGACTAACGCCCCAAGAGAAGTGGCAGCAATTATCAAACCAACTATATTGGGGTCTAGTCCGCCAATGATGGTACCAACTATGTCATTATTAGCATAAATATCACAATATCGGGATGGAGACTTTACACTCAGGTAGAACAAACAAGCTATTCACAAGACTCGCGATGTACCCAGCCGAAGAAGCACTGGAGAACATGAACACAATAGCTATATTCAATTTACGGAGCCCCCTATCTTTGATCCAATTTGGATTTGTGTTGTTCGGTAGGAGCTTGAATACCTCCATAGGGGGCTCCTTCTCCATTGTATCTGCCTTTGTCGCCATGTTATGTGCTCTAGCAAATATTGGGCTTCCTGGAAAAAGTGAAGTCGAACCGTATAGACTCAACTCAACCCCATGTTGTTTACCAGCTATCTTATATTAAAAGCATACAGCCTTGGAGAACAAGAGATCAACAGCATTCTTCTGACCCAATAAATTTCCAGCCTTCCCCGTAGTATCCTCGGGTAGTCAAGGATAACTCTGGCGACTGAAACGTAAATTTACGGAATGCAGGGAGGAATGTAACAGGCAATGTATCCAGTACAAATGTCGTACTATCTCCAATCACCTCGTCACAGATCCAAAAAAGTATGATCTGCAGTCCAAAAGAACAAGTATACTGTGCATTATGATACCATCCTTCACAGCGATGTGAGAAAAACTTTATTCATCACACTCCCCAAGCAGCGAAGCATACCGATTACCAAGCCCACAGAAGCCCTCACACTGCCCACCAACATCCCGCCCCTTATGCAGAACCTCCTCCATGCCCCACGCAACACGTTCGGCGCCCACCCTCGCGCCCTCGAGATTCGGCGCCCCAGGCCCAAGCCGGAGAGAAGCCAGGCGGCCTGTCATGAATAATGGGACGTCATCCCGCCACGATAGATCATTCGTTAGACATGGGAGACCTGACTTGACCTCGATCGGGTATTTATCGTTCATTTCGCGGAGCAGCGGCATCTCGCGCACGTCCGCCCGTACTCCAGTTGCGAAATAGATGTAGTCTATCGCGGGGAGGTCGGGGATTGGTGGGTCGGTTGTTAGGGTCCAGGTCTTGGTTACTGGATTGTAGTCGTGGGTTTTTATTACTGTGCAAGGGTGGATGGAGGCGCGGTTTTTAGCTGCGTGCTGCTTTACAATCTTTGTGTAGCGTGGTGTAATGCTGCCGCCATTTCGGGCGGTTTGAAGCATCTCAAGGCGCTCTGAGAAATATATTAGTGTCAGTCTTTAGATTGGTTTAGGGCTTTTTTTAATAAATACCTTCATCGGTATCAGCAGACCAGAAGGCTGCTTTCTCCCAGTTCTTGTACTTGCCCATCCATGACAGAGTAATGTCGAAGTGTTTAACTATTATTCAAATGAGACATTGTCCAAAAATTAATGATTACCGGGGATGTTATACATACCCTTCATGCCGGACCGCAACAAGAACCACACTTTCGTCACACCCTTGCGAACCGCCATGTCGACAATCTGTGCTGACGACAGCCCACCTCCAACGACAACAACATTGGTTTCCTGCCGCCGCTGGATCTTGTTTTGTACATTGGGGCTGGGAAATGATTTGATCTCCGTACTGTGACAACATGCTGCAGCACCCTCTTGTTCCGTCGAGGGTTTCCACGGATAAATCTTCGATACACCTGCTCCGCCAGGGCCGATGGCCAGGACAACAGACCGACTATAAAACTTCTCTCCGGTAGATGTGGTGACAGTGAACAGCTTTGAGGTTGAGCTATCGGAGAGATAATCATACGAGAGATCCGTGGCCTCACGCTGCAAGATTTTACCGGGCTCATCCAGACCATACCGCTGGATAATCGACGAACAATAATCCGAAAAAAGGTCTGTGGAAGGCGAGAAGTAATCTTTCCGATCTCGTTCGTCAATTTCAGCTCCAATTGTTCTGCTTACAAGGATTCCATGGTTAGAGCTTTGTTTCAACCACATTCGCACTGGACACCACTTACTGAGTTTGCCCACCCTGTCTTCTCTTCTTCTTCTTATGTTTGCTCATCTCCTTCCCAACGCACCCAGAAATCTCCCAAAGATCTGCGTCCCGTCCACTCTCCTGTGTATAAGCCAGCATACCATCCCGATCTCCGGGATCAACATGGAAGAACATCGGGCTGCGGAGCTGTTTGATCTCCAGCGTGCGGAACGCATTGTGCCACCGCTGCATCCATTTATCTCCAGAACCATCGATCACAAGAGTTGAGATAGACGATGTCGAGGATGTCGACGACGTCGACGATGCGGAAGATAGTGACGGCACAGGAGATGCAGAGTCAGAGGTACGTCTCCGGTCTTCTTGACGAGGACATCGGCGTTCGCTATCCCATTTTGCGGCTCGTACGCCCTTAATCTTGCCGTGTCGTCCTTGGACCAGATTCATCCGTCCGCTGTGCTTCTTTATCCAGTGATAGCGCTGGTGTTCTTCGTCTGTGAAGACTGCTGATGGTGTTTCTTCGCTTAGGCGTGCGGCGACGGCGAGGCCACATGGTCCTGCACCGATGATGATTACATCGTGGATCTCATCGTCTTCTGGTAATTCTTGGGATATCGACATTTTAGAAAGGCGAGGTAGGGCTAGAGTTATGGTGTATGAGAGAAATGTAGTGATTATAGTAGTACAACAAAATAGTAAATTTGCAGGAACGTACGATCATAGGAGAAATACTATTCTTTATAGCCTATATTTTACGAGCATGACTATATTTCTACAATGTCCTCGTGAGCTGACTATCGAGGTACTTGTCCCCAAGGTCCCTGAGGGATGACAACATATAGTGACAGCTTCATGCTCCACAATTAACATCACGGATTTGGTCACATTGGAGTCAATCTTTGAGGACCTTAGGGATGACTTGGATCATTTTGGCTTTAATATCTAAACCTTTCTAATGTAATGTAGTGTTGGACATACATCCACAAGCCATATCTAGCAATGTGAATATAAGCATCAATGGCCGTGAATTCCATCCAGAGAAAAAATGCACCAAATCCGATACAAATCCTTAATGTTGCTGATTTTGCTTGGCCTCTTGTTCGAACCTCCACCCAATTAAGCCACATCAGACATGGTACGGCAAGCATTAACAGCTCTATAACGGCCACTATGTACATCTATAAGAGCCCTGGAGCGGAGATGAAACAAGGTAAGAAATTGAATTCAATTTAGACCCTGGGACCTTCCAATATATATTCATGACGGATCCATGAAGCCCAATTTGATTGGTCAATATCAGACAAGACGAGAAGAAGAAAAGAAATTAAATTACTATGAAAGGAAAAATTTGCAAGGGGGAATAGCAGGCACCAAAAAACACCAAAAAAGAAAAGCAACAAGAGAAACAAAACAAAATATACTCAAATCCCAAACATCCATCATCAAAGCCAAACTTGTGCCTACAGAAAATAGAGTCATTTATGCCATTTCTTCGTCTTCGTCCCAGCCTTCCGCCTAGACGCACCCCCTTCTCTCCGATGCCAAGGATCCGAAGGCCAAACCCAGCCTCTCACTCTTTTAGCATCCCTCTTCTCCCCAACCTGTGGCTCAGGAATCCACTTATCCTTCGCCTCCTCCAGAATCCTCTGACGAGTCATCGCACCAGGTCCGCCAACGTTGAGATGAGCAGAAGGCTGATGCGGAAGCGGCACCGACTTTGAAAGCATCAACAAAAAGTACAAGCCTAGACCCGCCGTCATAGCCGGCAACGCATCCTCAACCGGGTCCGGGTCCGAGGAGTCATGATGCGAGGGGAATGACGACGAGAAAGAGCGCGCGCTGATGGGCGTTGTGAGAGGTGCATCGCGCGCGTGTGCACGCCCGCTCCGTGTAGCTGCTGTCTTGAGTGGGATTGATGCCGCGATCTCCAGGTACCCAAAGTAGGGGATGTCGTCGCCGGTGTCACAGCCTGCTCGAACGCAGACGAGCTCGATCTCGGTGATTATAAAACCGTAGCGGCAGGAGTGCTCGCGCATGCACCGCTGCAGGTGGGCGAGTCCGTTCAGGTACTTTACGCGTCTGTGGGGGGCTTCGTTGCGCATGCCGGTGTTCCAGCGGTCGAAGCTTTTCACGATGCCAACTAGTCGGCCGCGCGGGAGACCGGCGCTTGTTTGCTCAGTGTCTGAGGCATAGTTTGCTAGGAAGTGCGGATGGCCGTGGTTTTTTTGGCCTGTGTTGCGCACGTCTGGGGCAGCGTAGAGTTGGAGGTGGTCTTCGCCTTGGGAGACGGCTAGGGCGGCGTTTACGGGCGGTGCGTAGAGGTCGCGGATTAGGCTCACTAGGTCGTGTTCTGATTCTGGCGCTAGGCTTGCCGGGGATACCGCCACGTGCGGTGTGAGCTCTGCTGGGATTTCGGTCTTCAGGAGCTGAATTAGTCGGCTATCCAGGGAGTCGAATGCCGCCAGTGAGAAGGAGCTCCAGCTGCGCAGGTTACGGATGTCCCACCAGAAGTAATCGTGTAGACCGCGAGTAGGAATTACGCTAACGTTGCGGACTAGATTGATTGGTTGGATTGGTAGGGTCAGGTAGGACAGTAGAGTAGTGGACCTTGGGGTTAGGTTTTCCTGGGGACTGAGCGAGACCGGTGAATGCTGAGCAGCCGATGCGTGGCGGTAGTTATATTGAGGTGTCGGCACTGTCAATGGAGTTGCAGGAGCATTCTGCACCCCCAGTCTTTGAGAGTATGATGGATAGGGCATGATGTTTGGGGTAATTGGCGTAACTGGGGTGGTCGGAGTCGTCTGGGCCTGCATTTGAGGTGCATATTTTGGCAGCTCCCGGTAGGTGGGATACCCAAATCGGGTCAAAGTGGCGGCATCGATGACAGATGCCGATACTGAGCGTGAGTGGCCCCCGCCTGCCTTGCGCTTGTACGAAGGGGTGATAGTCACGGGCGATGACAAGGCAGGGAAGCAGCCCTGCGTAGTCATTGGCGCCGGCGAGATGGGAGAGGCCAATGTCAAGCGGTCCGCGACATCTTGTGTGCGGTTGACAGATGGCCGCACCAGTGGGTAAGGGATGAATCCAGGAGGCGGGTTCCGTGTATTAGACAGAACGCGACGGTTACGAAGAGGCCCGCCAGCAGACACTGGCTCAATCACGACGTCTTGAGGCCTGATCTTAGGCAATAGCTTCGGGCCATGATAATGTCTAGTTGGCGAGGTGGTAGGACTGGTATTTCCAGTCATAGTCGACCAGGGAGAAGACTCGCTTGAATAGACGGAAGAGTTGGAGACATGACGACTATGTCCAGAGCCGATGTACTCCTCAAGAGAAAGACGCGGCGGCGTCGTTAGCCGAAAGCGAGCGGAATCGACAGCAGACATGATAGCGAAGTTGTTGACTAGGTATATCACCGAAACAATATATCATAAGAGTAACAAACGAATAAGGATCTGATGTCTGACCAAGTCGTTCACAGAGACATGATCCAGAAGGAGGATGTCTGGATATTAAATGAACATCGACAGAGTCTCAAACAGCCAAGCATGGTGTATATAAAAAGATTGATGGACGAACCCTAGTCGATCTAGAAAAGATGAAACATGGAGAAGAGCCCCATTGTAACGCCTTGAGAATCTTTTTTTGGGATCCTAGTCTCCGATCAGAGGCACACCCACTCGATGAAACACGAAACTGCCGACATTGTGCCTGAAGACAGGCATGTTGAGCAACAAGCCCTTGAAACTACCCCTCGAAGGGGGTCTAGTCCGGCATAGTGCGGTTTCATCGGACTGTCGCGCGTTAAGATGTTACTATATTTTGCATCTTCTCCAACATCGTTCTTCAGATTGCCTCAAATGGTTAGCCTGCTGCAAGATTCTCGAAGTGTTCTAAAAACGGCAACAATTAGGTCACATTGCAGGGTAATTAGCAGACTTGTTGGTGACTTTTTCTGCTTCAGGACTCGCGGGGTCAGCGGTTAAGGGTTCCAAGAAAGCAAACGGATAAAAATAGCCATCGGGGTTATGAAATGTGTGGTTCCAGGGTCTGAGCAGGGTAAAAAGACCCTTTGATGGGAGAGAGTAGCTGCTCTAGATGCACCAGTGGCCGAATGTGATATCGACGTCGGCGGCTACATATGTGGTGATGAGTTTGATGTACGCGCCGAGCACCTGGCGTCATATCCAGTGATTGGATAGTTTGATCCTTGAAACTAAGCAATGTCCCATAATTAGCAACAATTAATGCAGTTGATGAGGAGTTCATGCAGGAGACACCTAGAAAGAGGTTGAGATCAAATCGAGGTGGTTAAATCGGGGTGGTCAACCCATAACCGTGCATTGAACCCTGGTGTTTCACTGCTGTTAGTGCACATTGTGTGTAGTTAATATCGACTTTTTAGTACCGAGTTATTTTAGAATTGTATCTCATTAATTTGTCTTTTAATTATTTCATGACATTCATTTCATGTGGGTCGAAATGACCCAACCGAAAGAGTAAAAAAGGAAAACGAAAAAAGGTCTTCTATGCACCTTGACGAAACACTCAAAACGCTCGGGGGAATCTCTTTGAACCGTCTAAACAACACATTGAACGGTAAAGGCAATCGCAGAACATCAAAGAAACTTTAAGCCTTGATCTCGTACTTGCGGCGGAACATGTCATCCACCTCAGTCAAGTAGTAGACATCGGATCCAATAGTCTCGATGTTACCAGTGGGCTTAAAGTTCTTCTTCAGGTGGGCGTGCTCGCGGAGCTTGCACATGGCATCATATGCAGCAGGCTCGAGGATAGTGCGGGCATTGAGGCGGTTCTGGAGGTCAAGCTTCTCAACCATGTTGGACACATCGCCGACAATCTTGGCGCTGAACAGGGAGCTGGCAAGTCCGGAACCGTAGCTGAACAGACCGATGCGCTTGGGCTCTTTAGGGTCGAAAGCGACGTTGCTGAGCAGACTGGCCAAGCCGCCATAAACTGTGGCAGTGTACATGTTACCGCACTGGGTGGCGACCTGAAGACCGGGGTTGACACGCTCGGCGAAACGCTTCTTGGTCAGACCCATGAAGGTCTTCTCAACGACCTTATCGGTAAGAGACTTCTCGTAATCCAGGTCGCGGAGCTCGGGGGCAACCTCGGCGAAAGCGGGGTGAGAGGGGTTGGCCAGGAAGTCGTTGTAGAGCATACGAGCGTAGGACTTCTGGACGAGCTTGCAGGTAGGGGCGTGGAACAGAATATAGTCGAAACGATCCAGAGGGGTCAGGGACTCGTCGAGGGCACCATTAGCACCATTAGCACCGTTGGCCTGGGCCTTCAGGGTCTTCTCACGGGCGTCGTAGGCCTTGTAGCAGGCATCGACAGCCTCGGTGTAGCACCGAAGGGAGTAGTGACCATCGACAACGGGGTATTCGCTGGTGAGGTCGGGCTTGTAGAAATCGTAGGCGTGGGTGAGGTAGGAGGCACGGAGACCGGGCTCGAAGACGATAGGGGCATCGGGGCCAATGACCATAGCAACGCAGCCAGCTCCACCAGTGGGACGGGCAGCACCAGCGGCGTACAGAGCAATATCACCGCAAACCACGATGGCATCACGGCCATCCCAGGCGGAGGACTCGACCCAGTTGATGCTGTTGAAGACAGCGTTGGTGCCACCGTAGCAGGCGTTGACGTTATCGACACCCTCGATGTTGGTGTTTCCGTGGGGAGCGAAAAGCTGCATGAGAACAGACTTCACGGACTTGGACTTGTCCAAAAGGGTCTCGGTGCCAACCTCGAGTCTGCCAACGGACTTGGGGTCGATGTTGTATTTTTTCATGAGGGAGGAGAGAACGGTGAGGGTCATGGAGTAGATGTCTGCCGAGAAAGGTTAGCTGATTGATCTTGATCCCCTTTGGAATATGCCGGTGCACATACCCTCGCGGTCATCACAGAAGCTCATCTTGGTCTGTCCGAGACCGATGGTATATTTTCCGGCAGAGACACCATCGTACTTCTCGAGCTCGACCTGGTCGACACACTACAATTGACAAATCAGTATCGATCCCGGGGGATAAGATAGACATGGAACCCTTACCTGAGTAGGGAAATAGACCTCAATGGCCTTGATGCCGATGTTTTGGGGACGAGTAGCCATGGTGGGGGGTATAGAGGGGTAATTTTTGTGTTATAAGAGAAATAGAAGGTGAGGGTGAAGGAAGATGACTGAGATGAAGTATATGAAGGAGGTTGAGGTTAAGATCAAGAGAAGAGGGAGAAGTCTGAAGAGAAGGCGATTGATATAAGAATGAAAAGGAGTCTGTGTACTCGGTTCTACCGTGTACGATCTGTCACCACTTATTATTTTTCTTTTTTTTTCGCGTTTTCTTTTTTTCCTTCGAGTGGGGAGATCTGCCCTCTTTTGCTACTTCTCTTGCAGTTCCTTTGGGCCGGATAATTCCCCAGGAGATATATAAGAAGTGGTTATACGGGGAGATTTGGACGTGAAGCTATACTCGTGACTCGTGGACCCCGTGATGCAGTGTATAAAACAGTCCCCCGCTAACTTACCACTTCAACATCAACTTTGACAGTAAGTAACTAGCTAGCACATAGTTAGTTAATAAACAGTTACATACATCTCTGTGTTCGACTGCGCTACGTGGCTTTGAAAATTAAAACCCTCAACATCCAAGCTACGGTGTAAAACTGAGTCTGCCATCTTATCGATCTCTCTTGTCTCCACTCCGGTCGTCTTCCAGGCTCAGCTTTCCCTCTTTGAGATCTTTTAATATCTTGAATAGTGGAAGGTTCCTTCTCATCCTCGAATCATTGCTTAGTGGAGCAATGGACCTCCCGGTCGTATCTCAAGATGGTTCAGTGGCATCACTTCGGATGTTTTAGCTAATTAGCCCGAAACTTGCTTCTCTATAATGAAGTCTTTGAGACTCTTCTCATGCATGTGGTCACTTATACTATCTACTATGCTGTACGGAGTTCAGTCTGCCTTTGCTGTGTTGTATTATTCTGATACTGCCCTCGGATCTTCATCTTCTGGCGTGGATGGGGTATGTACTCCGTAGCATAATGGAGAACATCTGCACGACACTGCACGTCCGAGGTCTGATACATATATAAAAAAGAAATGACTCCCAAACCGGTCTGGACTCTGGACTAATAAAAAATATTCTAATCTACTAATATGTTGTCATAGCATTAAAGAATGTCCAATCTCTAAATGATGCGTAATGCAGGACCGAGTTGCCAAGCGTGGGTCACTCTCACTCCGGGGGCGTTTGCCTATCTCCTGTCTCTCTCCTATACAACTCCATCGAATTCTGGACATACTTATTCATCGGCATAGGATGTCGGACGTCGCTCATTTTCCTTTTTCCTACAGATCATGATCCTCCAGATCTCCGCACCCGCGTTACACCCTAGTTACAGCTCTCCGGAGCCCCGTATCTCCCACAATGGGCGACGAGAAGTTTGACTATCAGGCCGTCCCCATCCCTTCTTACGCCGAAGCTACCGGTCAACCCTCATCATCTCGATCCGACCTTGGCGATGGAACAGATGTTGAACGACAGGGGCTACTCGGTCGCGATCATGCCGCAACCCGCGGCTACCACCCACCAACCGTCGAATCGGCGCGCTCTAGCCTGGATGACCTGGAATCATTGGCCTCACACTCAGACCGAGAGTCGGTGGAGGAACTACGGCGGGAGCTAGACCAGATGGATGTGGATGATTCGGCATCGGCCTCCTTAACCGGCAGACACACCCCTCTACGACATCGTTTTTCCAAGCAGCTATCGAGTCTGGGTCGTACCCTGTCCGCTATACAACGACCCTTCCAACGATATATGCCCACTTTCCGCTTCACGATCAACCTTAGTGACGCAAGGGCACGCTTAAAAGATCAGGGGTGCATCATGCTTCTCCGAGTATTCGCTCTTTTACTGGTGGTCACCTTAGTGTATGTGTTCTTCATCGCAGATGTCTTCAATATCAACAGTCGCATGGCCATGGGTCAGTCCTATAGCCCCGCCTCCGTCGAGAACTTCATTCAAGGCCACATCAACGAGACCAATATCGCCGATAACTTGCGACGAGTCACCAACTACACCCACGTAGCTGGCACGGAAGGCAGCTTTGCGCTATCAAAATTGATTGAACAAGAGTTCCAGAATGCAGGGTTTGATGAAGTGTCGCGGGAGGAATTCCAGGTCTACCTCAACTACCCACGCAAGGATGGGAGGAGAGTCGCAATCATCGATCCACCTAGTCTAGCTTGGGAGGCGAAACTCGAAGAGGACAACGCCAAGGACCTGATCTTCCATGGCCATTCGAAATCCGGCAATGTCACTGGGCATCTGGTGTATGCTAACTTCGGATCCCGGGAAGATTT